CACACACACACACACACACACACACAACAATATAACAATATGACCAAACATGCACATTATCATCCACGTAACCATACATTTCCTCTGTACATGCCTCTCCATTAAATATGTATGTTCATCACACTCTCCTCAGTCTCTGCACATGGTGTTTATGTCTTTCTGTACAACATCCATCCATCCTTACGTTACTGAAGACCATGAAGATTGCAGAAAGGAAAAACATCATAAACTTGCAAACTAAATATTAACTTGAAAATATGTACAAACTGCAAAACCTTAAAGACTTCAACACATGCAAAGGAGTAGATTTAAAGTTTAGCTGTTGCCTTGTTGATGATTTAGGATGCAGTAACTCCCTTCTTTTTCTGTGTTAAAAATAAATAGATTACCATGTGGCTGTTATTTAACTTCACAAGAGTCATAGACACATGAGTCCGTCAACACTCATGTAATATATGTAGTGAAGGCATTTGATACAGAGAAGGAATCACATGTAATGAAACCACAATAGGTAAAGTGCCTTGAGATAATGTATATTATGATTTGGCACTATACAAATAAAATTGAATTGAATTGAATTGGTCATATTTTCCCCGTCTCAGTGTCTTCCTGTCATCTCTGCAGGTTTTGGGAACATCTCTCCTCACACAGAGGGTGGAAGAATATTCTGCATCATCTATGCGTTGCTCGGAATCCCTCTGTTTGGCTTTCTTTTGGCTGGTGTAGGAGATCAGCTCGGCACCATATTTGGCAAGGGCATTGCCAGAGTGGAGAAAATGTTTGTGGTGAGTCTGGAGTCACATACACAGTCATGTAAACCCTGAACATACACACACACACAGGTATGGGTGGACATGCACTCACAATTACCTCTGGAACACATACTGGAGAGTTCAGACAAGTTTATGAAGTGCAGGCCGCAGCTTTGGATACAGTAGGTACACCTGAATAATTCACATCAAAGCACTCGACAATATCCTCACACACACCAGCTCTTTTAGTTTGCTCTTATATAACACCTACAACTGGTTTAACAACTGCCCACAGATTTTCTCTACGCATCAGATGTTGATTTAATCCAACAATTAATGATTGATAGGTTGGATCAAAAAGCCAAACTCAGATGTGAAGCTACAGTGGTTATTCCTCAAGCTGCTGACACCATAATTCTGACTAACTGAGTCTGATTTTGGGATCCACACTCATTAAAATGTTCAAACCTTGTAAGTGTTGTTCAAGATTTTCAGGTTGATTGAATTATTCATCATTTTATCTGATGTTATGTTATCATCAACATTAGCATTAATGTGCAGAAGCCAAACACAGAGAGCTCACTCAGTTTGTGTTGAAGATTTTTAAGTTTAACTTGCTGTTGTGTGTGATTTGTTTTAGTCTTGAAAGAAGTGAAGCAGAGATCTGAATGTGTAAATCAGAATGATTTGCTGCCTCTGCTGCTCTCAGGGCACCCAAGGGAGTCAGCAATGATTACGGCAGAAGACAGAGGACAAAAGTTCATTTGTGTGTGTTTGTGTGTGTGTGTGTGTGCGACTGCAGCATTATCCTCAATGAATACTGTGAACGTCTTCTCTACTACACCCAAAGGACCAATTTACAGAATAATGTTATTACATCTAACAGCATCTGATGCTTTCACTTCAAAAACAACGTGGGCCATCTGTTAATGTTGGCACTCCAATTACTAATGTATGTATAACACTTAAAACACTCGAATGAGTGCATACCTTCTTTACGGTCCAACAGTCCCCTTAAATTAAACTGCACACACTCATAGATATCAGTTCCCTTAATGTGCCTGATTTCTTTCATCAAGCTGCATTAATGATTCCCAAGAAAATCTGTGAAAATGTTGAAAACCTTCTCTGAAAATTCAAGGGGTTCTTCCCTGACCTGTACCACATCCTCCCATTAAGTTTCATGGTAATCCGCTCAGTAGTTTAGGGGTCATCCTTCTAACTATCAAACAATAGAATGGGGTGAAAACATAACGTCTTAGCACCAATAAATCCACATTTGATCTGGATTATCTCTCTTAGGCACCAGCCACACAACAGTTCTAGCATAGAAGCAAGAATTTAAGGTTCACATTATGGCCTCAGCATTTGTTCTTCAGATCCAAGAGAATCCGATAAAAACACAGAAACCATGAAAATCTTCATGTATGTTTGCAGTGATCAACATCAGACAAAACAAACTTAAAGTTCCTGTTCCAGAGTTGAAATCCACTGTTATATGTCTCATCGTCTCAGCCTTCCTCTCTCTCTCTGTGTCGCCTGCAGCACTGGGACATCAGTCAGACAAAAATCCGGGTTATCTCCACGCTGCTGTTTGTGCTGTTTGGCTGCCTGCTGTTTGTGGCGCTCCCAGCAGCCATCTTTAAATACATCGAGGGTTGGTCTGCGCTGGAGTCCCTTTACTTCGTGGTCATCACACTGACAACCATTGGATTTGGGGACTTTGTGGCAGGTACAGACAATTTAACCCTGATATAAAGCTCTGTTCCTTTGAATCATACAGATCTGTCTCATCAGGTGTAGACAAACAGCTTCTTCTCTCTGTGTCTAGGTGGCTCAGACATAGAGTACTTAGATTACTATAAACCAGTTGTATGGTTCTGGATTCTGGTGGGACTGGCCTACTTTGCTGCCATCCTCAGCATGATAGGAGACTGGCTCAGGGTCATCTCCAAGAGGACGAAAGAAGAGGTATGACACTGTCCACTCTCATCTGCTCCTTCATTCACTGGCTTTTACATCTCTCTGCATATCTGTTCATCAATACACTGTATCTACCTACTAATTCCATTAACGTCCACAAACCATCCATCTTATCAGCTTCACACATGGCAGGTTTATTATGAATTGCCTTTGGAAGTGTACTGTCGAGTCTGGTGCGATTTGGACACACGATACGTTCAGAATCATTAAAAATATGACCAGAGCTCTGTAGCAGTCAGTGGGGATGGGGCAGTGTGCCTCCAGTCATTGGACATGTCTTCTTCTATGTCCTCAGATGAACTACAGCAGTGGTTGGCAACTGGGTTAAACCGAGGGTTGAAATCACTGTCTGATTAGTTTCATAATTTGATCATTTTATTTTACAATATTGGACTGAGACACAGACACAAAGCACAGTTGCTGATCTCCATCATGGTAACAACAGAATTCCCAGAATCATTTCCTGTGAGCTTTTATTTTGAAAAGTTTTGAACTTGGGTCTGGAGATTTTGTCAATTGTTCAACAGACCTCTGAAATTGCCGACATGCAATGTATGACAGAATAACAACTGTTGAACAATTATAAAGCAAATTTAGTTTCATTTTATGAAAAACGTTGACTTGATTACAAACCAGACAGGATGAACACAAAGTTTTCTAACTTCACTCTGCGCCACAGACTGTTTCTTAAAAAACTGTGCACACAACGTATCAGTACATTGTAGATATGTGTTGAGGAGGAGTCACTAATCAAAAGGAATGATTCAGAGTTAGACTGGAGCATCAACAGGACAAGAGAATAGAACATTACAAACAGGCAGGTATCGAACAGGCACTGCACTATTCTGTACCATATGTCTATATGTCCTTGTCTCTTTCCATACAACACAGGTTGTACGAGCTACTCCTTAACAGCATCATGTCCCCGCCTCAACTTTTGCTCCCTGCTTAACTTCATTTCAATGACAAGAGTGTTTTCTAATCTAATTGACTGTCAGCCATCCAAACACATTGTCTGAGGCCATTACTCTGCAAAGGACTGGACATGCAGTGTATATTCAGCAAGGATGTAAAGACTAAAGGCTTCACTCAGTGTACCCTATAATTAAACAGAATTAGTTGAATTACTGGTTGGCAACTGAAACTGTTAAATGTTGATACATGATGCAGCATAAACACAGATCTTGTCAGGATCACTAGACCTCATGGGGACCAAAGCCTGGTCCTACTGAGGCAAAACATTAACTCTGAGCTGCTGGTTCAGGTTAGAGGTAATGTGAACCCTGATTAGTTTGCTTGGCCTGTGATGATGATGCAGAGCCCCCCCCCCCCCC